TGAGTTCGAGCCACACGCTGAGCAAAAGATTCCTTCATCGCAGGGGTTTGGACTAGATGACACTCATGGTCCCAACTCTCCAATTCTACGATTCTATGAAAGATTCTATGAAAGGTTACACTAACTCCTGTATCCGTCTGAAGATCCCATTTGGGACTTTCTATTAAATTATCACAAGCCATGATCACCTATGACATCACTTTGCACCGGAATATAAATCCAATTGCCTACTACTCTGGGGAATGATGGTTGATACTGCATGTTGATTCAGGACCTTAAACTGAGCTTTATGCTTACAGTTGCCTACTTCTCAACCTGGGTTAATTCCAGAGTCATGTGCCTATGTACTTTGCAATAGGGGACAGGTATTATTTCATTAATCCTGAAGAAGTTCCAGTTCCAGAAATCATTAATGATGCAGCACTAACTCATCCCTAGGCTGGTTTAACAGCCTTTGCTGAAACGTATCCCAGCATTGCCTTACTAGTGACTGTTCTGAAGTAATACTGCAATCAAAGTACATGAGACACTGTCTAAAAATATTGCAAAGTCATTCTGAAAATTCCATTTCCAAGTCTATATAATTGCAGTCAAGGGCACAGCTAAGAGCAGGGCTTCTTATTATACTGTGTTGTATGGCGAGGAATGAGAGAACATCGTTTTGCACCATTTTCTTCCCTAACATTTTTCAACACTTTGCCAGCAGGGGAAGTCTCTAGGTAGTTTTTAAAATGTGCTAGCCATTGACCATGACAAATCTGATTAAAAAATAAATACACATAAAGAGATGCCATGCCACGAATAATAGTCTCTATTTAGATCTCTCCCTTACAGTTCAATGCTATATTGTCCAGGGTCTTCTTTCTGATCTTTCTGGCCACCAGAGCAAAAAGGGTGACTTTGTGAGTCAACGAAATGTTAATATCGCTAAGAAGCCATAGAACCTTCTCTGCCAGGGAGAGACATTTTTCTTGTACTGGCTGTTGGGTGAGAAATGGTCTCTTGGGTCCAATGTATTGGGGAGCCTCTAGGTGAGAAATCCAAAATCAGACAAGGATAGCGAAATTAACCTCTGAGCAACAATTGATAGTCATCCCTAGGCAAACACAGTGGAATCACTATTTAAAATGGGGACTTGGAAATAATTGGAGTTGTTGAGAATGAGAGAATAACTTTTATGCTTTCGCTTTTGCAGTGGTACCTCTGGTTACAAACTTAATTCGTTCCGGAAGTCCGTTCTTAACCTGAAACCGTTCTTAACCTGAGGTACCACTTTAGCTAATGGGGCCTCCTGCCGCCGGTGTGCAATTTCTGTTCTCATCCTGAGGTAAAGTTCTTAACCTGAGGTACTATTTCTGGGTTAGCAGAGTCTGTAACCTGAAGTGTTTGTAACCCGAGGTGTTTGTAACCCGAGGTACCACTGTATTTAGATTGGAGAGGTGGAGAGAACACAACCTAGGAAGTTGTGTCAGGTTCATACTGAGAAGTATGTCCTCTGTTGCCTGTTTTGCCACAGCAAATGTCTTATATGATACATTATATAAAGATATTTCCAAAACCTCCCCAAATTTACTTCCTGAAACACTAATTATATTGCAGCATGATTCTGAAAAGCTGTGGGGCACAGTGTATCACTTTATTGTGCAATCATGTTGTGACTGTGCTGCAGTAGTGGCATGATGATATTTGTGTTGCAGATACATTGTGAAATCACTGCTGTTAGGGGAACAGATTTGTCCCCAATGCTATGCACAAGGTGAATCCTTTTCTGAATGCAGCAGAGAGCTGCATAGGGTCAATAAACTGAGGCTGAACCCTGCTAAGACAGAGATGCGGGGGGGGGGGGGCGGGGGCGGTAAGTGAGTCCCAGGTTCAAGAACTGGGGTTTTTGCTTGTTCTAGATGGGGTTGCACTCCCTCTGAAGGAATAGGCATGTGATTTTGCATTGCTCTTGAAACCTTCTTTGTCCTTGAAGGACTTGGTGGTCTCCAGAGCCAAGAGAGCCTATTACCAGTTTCAGCCGGCAAATCGACTACACCCTTTCTGGACAGAGATAGTTTTGCCACTGTGACACATGCACTGGTAACTGCAGCTGGTGTAAGAATGCTGTGTTCTATATGCTGAGTGGTACATCAAGTTCAGCAAACGGAACCTCGTTAGTCTTGCAAAAACCTAACGATCATTGGCACAGGGATGGGTCTCTTTGCTGGCAGCGCTGGCATTATGGGATGCACTTCCTGCTTGGCATTCTGCCAGCTTTTGAAGACACACCTGTTTACATAGGCATTCCCTTAATCTCTTGACCAGAGTCGCCTCTTTTAATCACTGTGTTCTTTTAATGGGACTGTTTTATTGCATGTTTGTGTACTTTAATTATGGTTGTTTATATTTCAGTGCTTCTGCAATTTGTTTTTTATAATTGTAAATTGCTTATTTTGCCATTAAGCAGTGCACGCATTAATAAATAACATCGAGATTTATAGGGCCACAAATTATGTGGTAACACGTTAGGAAGAATTCAGTGTCCTTTTCTACTAATTATTCCATCAGTGTAAACTTGCCAAATGGAACGATGTTCCCCTCTCTTTCCCATGTGCACTATTCTAGGGGTTCTCCTGACCCCTCAAGCCAATTATGGGTTGCATGGGGGAGGAGAAAGGGGGAGCCCCATTGCACAAGCCGAAGTCTTTGTGCAGGCCTTCTATTGACAACACTCACTTGATGAATCCCACCCGTTGCTTATTGTGCTATGATTTACATAGCCCTTACATAGTAGCATAAGCCAGTGACTCCCAACCTTCCCCCCCCCCCCACGGATCACTTGAAAATTGCTGATGGTCTTGGTGGACTGTTGTATCAACTGTAACTCACTATGCTAGATGAATGTTTGGTTTTAATATATATATATTTTTCCGATGTTCATGTGGACCATCTGAAATGAAGTTCATCCGCAGACCACGGTTTGGGGACCCCTGACCCAAGCAAAAGGCAGGTATTTGGCCCAGGTCTAAACTAACAATGAGGAAGGGGAGGGAGGCAAGGGTGAGGAAACCCATTTACTTAGGCTTTCTTTCAGTTTTAGATGAAGATGGATGCATTAAGCCAATAGCTTCATAGAAGCAGATCCACACACCCCCAAGCTGGGCTGCTGAAGTAAGAGGGGTGGTATCCTGTAGGTGTTCCTCTTCTTTCTGAAAATTGATGCTATCAACATCTCCACCTAATTACCACTTCTCACAGGGCTAAACAGCCACAAGTTCTATGATTCCATGAAGTTTCTTCACCTAACTAATAACTAATGTGTCCTTCTTGTCCCTTGATCTCTGTACATTCCTCCATGGGCTTTCTAACCTGGTTGGTACTCAGAGCTGAGGTCCAATGATTCAATCAGGGCACTGGCATAGCTGAGCCCTCCTACTAAAATGCTTGCAGGTAGGACTGAAGTGAACACAGTTATGTTTGAGGCTCATTGCAAGCAAAATAAGTAGGACTATGCTCCCTTGGATCCTATGGGCTCCTGCTGCTTCACCCCAAAGTGTGCATTTAGACGGGAAAAGGTGGCGGATGTTCCTAGGCCTTGGTAGAACAACTTTTCCTGCTGCCTACAAGTCCCAGAAATCCCAATAGGATTTGCATGTTATTTTGAAGGAGAATCTCCAGTGTACAGTGGGAAAAGATACTCCACCAGAGCCTGGCTTGCAAATGCATGCAAGTAGTCCAAACTTCTGTACTCAGAAATATGCAGAACACCCCAGGAAAAATTCTCTAAGCTTATTGAAACTCGGCTTTCTTCTGTTTTGTCAGCTTTTTGCATGAGTAGGAGGAGCCCTCATGTCCACATTGAAATTTTACTTAAATATTTTACTCATTTTTACCTTAACACTACTTGACAGCTTATCTTCTCCTGCTCCAGGTTTACACTGTCATATATCCTGCTCAACTGTCCTGATTTAAGCAGGACATCCCAGAATTACAAAAACCATCCTGGCTACTGATTAGATCAGGCATAGACAAACTCCAGCCCTCCAGATGTTTGGGACTACAATTCCCATCATCCCTGACCACTGGTCCTGTTAGCTAGGGATGATGGGAATTGTAGTCCCAAACATCTGGAGGGCCGCAGTTTGCCTGTGCCTGGATTAGACCCTGGGATGTCCCATTTTGGGGGGCCATGTTCTTGCACAAGTCACATGACTTGTGCAGGAGCATGGCCCCAAAAGACACATATCCCAGTTTTCCTCTGGGACATGTTGGAGGGTATGTAATCATAGGACCGCATGAACCACCAATGATTCTTTTCGTCACAAATTGCTGCACATTTAAGAAGAGTGGAAAGTCAACCTCTAGGGTGCCCAGTGGCTTTGTGTTCTGCTTTACAGAGGGCAGTCCTCTGTTTGAAGTCCCAGTTCAAAGATTAAAAAAAACCATAAGAAGCAAGAGCAAGGATCTTGGAGCTGCCCATCAGTAGTTAACATCTGAACAGCAGAATAAGAAGCACACTGGTCAGCTTGTCACAGTTTCCCCCAGTATGAGGAAATCTGTATACATTTCTGTATACATTATAGTAATTATTTCTAAATTTACACCTAGATATGCACATTGGCACATACTAATTTTATGCAAATCTGTGCATTCTTTTGCCCTCATTTTTAATGTGTAACTATATCCATAATATTACCTTCTCCCCCATTCTATATTTCAGTATCTATCTCTTAGGAGCATTTATATCTCTGGCCAAACCACAGGTTTTGGAAAAAAATATGTTGGTATTAAAACAACCCTTTCCCTTGGCTTTACAGATGTAGGTTTGTATGTGTGCAACAAATTGACCTGTGCTGATCATTCTGCCATAGAATTGTGCGTGCGTTCAGTAGACAGAACATGCATTCTTAAAATACACTGCTTTTTCCCAATTTTTTATTAAATATATCCAGAAGTGGGCCTTTGTAGCTTGCCGTGCCCCTGCTGAAATATGAAACAGTCATCATAAGAGAGATGAAATAAATTCCAGATTAATCAGTAACTGTAGCCAACCATTACTTGATCTTCTGCCTTCCCCACAAGCTCCCCAGTCAATCTATACTGTCTCCATCAATGCCGCCTTTTCCGTTCTACAGCAGAACGCAAAGCCTGCAGAATCAGGTGCTCGTTATTCAAGATGTTGTATTCACTCAGGTTTACTAGCTTGTCAAAATCTTCATCGCTGTATGTGAGCCAGTAAGTATTGTATGGTGTCTTCCAGGTGGAAACATCAACATCTCCTGCAGCCATCTCTGCTTCACCATCGCGTTTCTCGCCTAGGATAAAGAAACGGCGAGTTATTAATGGTTAGATATTTGGCTTATTTCCGAAGCATACATGTGTATTAATCCAATGAGAATGTTCTTAGAATGGTTCATTTACAATTTTGGTTTTGTGTTTTTTTATATAAAAAATAAATCTACCACAATTTTAATGCCCTATTTTGATTTGATTTATCAGGCTTGGATATCTCTTTATACTTAAGAGGGTCTCAAAGTAGTTGAGTGTATATAATATAATGAAGTTAATAAAGCATATTAAATAATGCACAATATCATTGTAATTATAAGAACATACAGTGTATATAATATAATGAAGTTAATAAAGCATATTAAATAATGCACAATATCATTGTAATTATAAGAACATACAGTGTATATAATATAATGAAGTTAATAAACCATATTAAATAATGCACAATATCATTGTAATTATAAGAACATACACTCAAGGCTGGATTAGTATTTGTTGGCACCATCTTATTCTGACCATACTAAAGCATGAACAGAAGAAGCAAAAGACTTAGTCATGCTTAGAGGGCTTTTATTTTAATCAATGGGACTTACATTAGTGACTAACTTAAGTATAATTGGATTTCAGTGGGTCTACTCTTAAGCATGGACGCGGGTGGCGCTGTGGCTTAAACCACAGAGCCTAGGACTTGCCGATCAGAAGGTCAGCGGTTTGAATCCCCGTGACGGGGTGAGCTCCTGTTTCTTGGTCCCTGCTCCTGCCCACCTAGCAGTTCGAAAGCATGTCAAAGTGCAAGTAGATAAATAGGTACCGCTCTGGCGGGAAGGTAAACGGCATTTCTGTGTGCTGCTCTGGTTCGCCAGAAGCGGCTTAGTCATGCTGGCCACATGACCCGGAAGCTGTACGCCGGCTCCCTCGGCCAATAAAGTGAGATGAGCGCCACAACGCCAGAGTCGGCCACGACTGGACCTAATGGTCAGGGGTCCCTTTACCTTTACTTTACTCTTAAGCATGACTAAGTCTGCACCCTGGACCATTCCAGTGCCTTAGAGCTTGTTGTAGTCAGTCAAGATTCAGAGGTTGAAACTTCAGGTTGTTACCACAGAGATTGGTATTTTATTTTAAATATTTTATTTTTAAGATTCATACGCTGCCTTTCAATCAAATGATGCACAATGGCTTACAACAGATTGCAACCAATTCAGTTCAGAGGAATTAATTGATTCCTCGGTAAGTGGGGAAAGTCCAGCAAAAAATCTCCGCCACCTCCAGGAATAGTATTTGCCTGACAGCACTGGATATAACTGTCACTTAAAAGGTAAAGGTACCCCTGCCCGTACGGGGCCAGTCCTTGACAGACTCTAGGGGTTGGTGCGCTCATCTCACTCAGAGGCCGGGGGCCAGCGCTGTCCGGAGACACTTCCGGGTCACCGTGGCCAGCGTGACGATCGCTGCTCTGGCGAGCCAGAGCCGCACACGGAAACGCCGTTTACCTTCCCGCTAGTAAGCGGTCCTATTTATCTACTTGCACCGGGGGTGCGTTCGAACCTGCTGGTTGGGCAGGCGTGGGACCGAACACAGGAGCGCACCCCGCCGCGGGGATTCGAACCGCCAACCTTTTGACCGGCAAGCCCTAGGCGCTGAGGCTTTTACCCACAGCGCCCCCCGTCCCGTAGGGTGGAGTTATTATTTATTTATTGTCACTTAGGGTGGAGTTTATTAGCTATTGTCAATAACTTACCAGGTGCTTTGTAATACGGAAGGTATCATTCACTAATGGGAAGAAAACCAGGATTGGACAACCAAGGACATCTGATTGATCAAAGTAGTAGCATTCCTTTAGATGTTTCTTGTCTTCTTCCGTAAGGACAACATGTGGAAATGGGATACCTTGCTGGATATAGTACTTGCAAGCTTGCTCTAGAGGCTTCATTCACATGAAAGTTAAAACAAGAGAAGACAAGAAATGTATGTTAAAAAGCAATCATATGCCACTAAAAAAATCTATGTGGAAAACTGGGATACCCAGGAAGCACAAGCTAGGAATTAATGAACAGTTCCTTGAATGGGGGAAGTAGAAAGCAGAGTCCCTGCTTTTTAACTTGTTCATAAACCATCTAGAGTTAGGAGTGAGCAGTGAGGCGGCCATGTTTGCTGATGATACTAAGGAGTTCAGGTTCATTAAAAGAAAAAAGCAGGCAACAAAATCTGGCTAAATGACATCGTAGAAGCTATCAGGGATTGGTTGCAGGCGTGAGTGGTTTGACAGTGAGCTGATTTCAGCTTGGGTGATGGTTAGGCATTGAGTAAGTTGCATGGAAGTGAGGTTGTAGCCATTGCCTGCCCCTCCTTGGTAAAGAGTATCCAAAAGGATCCAGGAGGAATGGTTTCTGTCCAATGCCTAGGTGGGAACTAGGGCCATACCACTCCTCCAACAGAGACCCCAGGCAGGGGGTACCCCTATTTGATGTAGGTCATAGGCACCCCTTCCAAGATGTGGTTTACGCTTAAATGCACTTCCAGCAGATGTGCTGGAGTGGAATAGCAATGGCTTTACTCAAGGCCTATGCCAAACCATTCACTGCTGAAACCAATGAAGCTTTGGCGTTATTCAAACCCAAAACCCAATGTGCTATTGTCCAGTGTGGTTATTAGTTTCCCCCAGCTAGGTCAAAGGGGCTTGGCACATGGATCCTATAAATTAATATTATCTAAGCTTGGGAATTAATGACTTAAAGAGGAGGAGCAGACTAAAATTTATGTGAGATGAATTCCCAGGAATTGCCTTGATAAGATTTTACTTCCATCAACAGAATGTATTTTCTTTCATTGCATTAGTCATTGTTTTCTATCTAACTACCTACTGGAGAATAAAATTTGCATTTAGGGTTTTTTTAAAAAACAAACAAACCTGTAGTAATGTTTTAAACTTGCTGCAACTCAAAGGAAAAAAACCTGCTGCAGGTTGGTAGATGTGCGATCAGCCATATCTTTTATGCTATTATAAACCTCGTAGCAGTTTTATTACATTCAAGTGATATGTATTTTTGTTGTTGTTGTTAAACAGGTAAATAAATAAATATATTATTGTCTTTTATGAGTTCTCACCAGAATGTGGTCAAGGTGAGATTCAGATATTTTAGAGCAAGAGTTGCCAGGACTCCAACTTCCATCTGCTCCAACCAACATGGCCAATGGTTAGGGGTGATGGGCACTGTATTCCAACAACATTGGGAGGATACCCCTGATTTATAGTTAGGTGAGGAATCTGTGGCCTTCTGGCTACAGACAGTTAATTAAGGTGACCTTGGGCAATATGTCGCAATGTTTCCACATAAACCTGAAATATATCCCTTAAACAAACAAGCAACACAAAACCTATTACCAGTGTTTGTGAGCCTGCGCTGTAACTCAGATGCACAATGACATCAACTTTCCTCTCTGGCCTTAAAAGTGGTGGGCAACTTGTATTGATGAAAAATCCAGCGTCCACCAGTCCTATAGAGTCTGCATGTTCCGTTAGTTGATTTGGGCATCCGTCTAACACCGTAGCTGGAAAGGAAATATATTTTTTGCCATCAGAAAAGAATATTTCTGCCTAATTTGGAACCCAATTAAATTAAAATACATAGGGCATTTTTACGTCTGACAATATGGCTGCAGTCATATGCCACTTACTTAGGAGTAAATTGCACTGGATTAAGGAGAATTCAAATATCACTTAGAGCAGAGTGTGTGGTCTGCTTTCCATAATGGTGGAGAATTGTAGTCCAACCAGGTTTCCTGTCCTATGGGCTTTGGAACCTATCAGAACCATAGACCTTCACCAACCCTCTTTTGACCTGTCAAAATATTTGTGGGTAAAGCGTCCTAACACAGAAGACAGCCTGCTACCTTTGTCCTTTCTTACTAGGTATATGAATTTAGGATGCAAGCCTACACCAAGTTACCTGGGAATAAAATGAACTCAGTGGGACTTAGTTCTGAGTAATAACAATAACAATAACAATAACAACAACAACAATAATAATAATAATAATAATAATTTAGATCAACAAGATCGAGCCAAATGCTGATGGGGGTGGGGGTGGGATTGCTCCTTTTCTGGAATACTGGGGTATGTTATGAAATTAAACCGCACTGGGGTCAAACCATCTTTCTTGATCTGTCCAGGTGTCAACTGTAGTTTGTTTGTTAATATCCTCAAGAAGAGTTGTTTCTCAAACTGTTTCATACCAATTGTCTATTGTTGTGCCAGAAAAGTCTTTCCAGTATCTGGTAATGTTGCATCTCGCTGCTTGTAATAACTGGCTTATTAATTCTTTATTATGTAAATCCAGATGGGTGTCTTGAAATATATTTAATAAAGCTAATTCTGGTTTGACTTCCAATTTTTTTATTGTTATTTTATTAATTTCTTGGAAAATCAAATTCCAGAAAGGTTGGATTTTGTACATTGCCACCTTCTGAGTATTATTATTATAATAATAATTCCATTTATAGGCATCATAATAAAACTGTAAAATAGAACACTGTGAATATAACCAATAAAACAAAACACCAAGTCATTGGTCAGTATAATCTAAAACATCTGGAGTCTGGAGAAGTCTGGACTACAACTCCCATCAACCCCAGCCAGCATGGATGATGGTCAGGAAACATGGAAATTGTAGTCCAAAACATATGGAAGGCACCCAGTAGAGCTATCTAGTTTCATACTGTCAGCGTCAACTGTGTCTGGAAGTGTCTCTCCATGCTCAGGCAGAGGTCCTTGATTATGGAAAGCAAGTGTTCTAATACTGAACAGTGGCTTCAATAGACAACTATATAAACCTGTTTACCTTTCCATCTATTGAAATTTTCATTCTCCAAGTAGTAGTTATGCATCTGAAAACCCTTCAGAAAATTGTGATATTGGGCAACAGAAAAGCGATCAGTCAAGACCCCTCGGAGCTTATTGGCAAGTTCTCCGGCTGGGACGTACATATGGCTCCTTATTTCATATGGCCTTGTAGGTAAATAAGGCTCTTCCTCTGCAACAAGATACAAAAGGTGACAAAATAAGCAGTCACTAACTATGCTCTGATTTGCTGCTAAGCCGAATCTTAGACAACTCAGTTACCGGACAGCTATATAGTAGCAAACCCGCTGCAAGAACACTGTAAAAGACAACGTATGGCCCAATCCTAAGCGTATTAACTTGGAAGTAAATCCCATTGAGTTTAATGAGATTTGCTTCCTAACAGAGCACTGTAACTTTATACATGTGTCCATATAGGTGCATAACAGTCTCCGACCTTCATCACCACTGACAGCATTGAACTAGATTGCTTTGATGTTGTTTTGGCTTCACATTTTCGGCTGAAGTGTCAAAATGGTTAGGCAGTTCGGATACCATGCCAGCAATTCACCTGGCGTGTAACCTCCCTTTAAGACTATACATTGTCAAATTGTCTTCCGAGGTGGACCGTGCTATGCACCTCTGAGACAAATCAAAAGCGAAAGGCATTTTATCCAAAGGTATGGGCACACAACCTTTAACAGGTGGCATGGTAGGATTTTACTCGCCTGACCTCCTTCTTACTTGGAGGTAGAAGGGGAGGCAGTTGCAATGTTGGCACAGTGCAAACATGCTAGCAGCAGCACAGCACCATGCCAATCTCTCTGCACCCCTCTACCTCCCAGTAAGCAGCAACAACATGACTGGCCAGAGATCAATTGAGGCAGCAGCAACCCACTGTAGCCAGCTGCCACTGCATACAGCTATGAGGCTAGTGGCTTCCTTGTTTTCCAGTCTTTGCTATATCAAATACATCGTGGCTCATCAGAGACAGGCACCGTCAGTATGCCTTATGTTTTGGCATGTCACTATTCAACCCATTTCAAGAAGGCTTGCTGCGATGCACACGCACGCGCACACACACACCCCAACTGTGCTTACAGTAAATTATTCGGAAGACCCACAGAGAATGAAAATTATGCGTCCAAATTGACACCCAATGGTTGTTGTTTTTAAAGGAAAAATAACTCCCAACCTCCATCTCTTAAAGTAGCATATTGGGTCAACCAATTTAACAGCAGAGAAATGGAGGAAGCAGATGCATGAAGAGGAAAAGCTCACCAATATCTATTAACTTGTCTTGAGTCCATCTGTGCCAGAATTCCTCTGAATCATTAACTCTGTTCCAGATATACAACAAGTTTAAAGAAAATATGCTACTCCACATACCTACAAGGGGAGAGAGAGAGACGGGGAACAAGAAAAGTGAGTTCACACGAATAAATTTAAGTAAGACCTCAAGGCAAACCAGTTGAGAATGACTCTTATTTTCAGCTTGCTTGTTTCTTCTCAGTCAACCATGAATGCATGAATATGAGCATATTTAACTCAAAACATAGTCTAAACTTCTGTTTTTAATGCCCGGGAAGATATACATCAGGCAGATTAACATCTATAAACTGAGCAAATGAATCAAGCTGGGGGATACAGCACAGTCACAACTTTTACTGCTACACCATGAATGGATGAAATTGTCAGGAGCTCGTCCTACACTCAAGTAGGACCCTGGGAGAGACACATGCCCAGCTGGCATGTTCTCTCCCTCCTGGTCGATCGTTCGGGTGCTTCAAAAGCTTTCTTCAGCTTGAACATCACAGCGACCGATGCCAACAGACATCGGCACACTTAGGGATCCACAGAGTCTTCACAGCTTGCGTGACAGACCTCAGCAACTCAGCATTTTGGCTAATCTACTTTATTTACATATAAACACACATGGAGCACTGCAACATGGCTCCCTCTCTCTCTAGCATCAGACAGCAAAGAGAAAAGGAACAAGGGACAATAGTCCCACTTCACGGAACACAGTAACACAAACATCCTGTCTCCGTCACTTCCCACTCTGTGGAGTCAAAACATATACCGTCATGTGATAGACAACAATCCCATGACTGTAGTCATGGAGCAGGAATTCTAACAGAAATATCAGTCTGCACTTGCTTTTGGTTTGCAATCTCGAATGCTGAGTCTGATAAGATATACAAAGAGCAGCATAATTTGAGACTGCTCTTTATATGAAGCTGTGCAGAAATTAAGATGAGCTCACTGTTGGGCATGGGGGTGCTAGGAAACAGTAGACAGCGGGTTGACTCTGAATGCTCTTCAAGGCAGGAAAGAAGCTCCAGAGTTTATAAAGAATGACCATGAGTTATCTCCGTCAAGGTAGAAAGGAGGGTGCATTGTGGTTGGTCCTTCTCTTTCTGCCAGAAAGTAAAGAAAGCAGAAAGTAAAGAAGAAAGCAAAAAGTAAAGCAGAAAGAGCAGTTGTGTTTTCCTTGGATTGTCATTTGTTCCAATTTGACAGTAAAGAGCAGGTTTTCCTGGGGAAAGTAGCAGGACAACAGGAAAAAGGAAAATGCTCAGACATGGACCTGTGCCTATACAGTGTGGCATAAGAGGAAATGGGGGTTGAGCCCCATTGCTGGATGTTTTGCTGGGCAAGCAGATCCAAGTTGCATGATGATATTATTATCTCAGGATGCAGCATGACCAAAGCAGTCATTTAAACATGCCCCAGGAAGATGTAGCCCTAAAGCTTGATATGCTCTTTTAAGATGGACCAGATTCTTGGCTGATTAGAGCGTGTCCAGACGAGGTGCGGGCCCTCCTGGGGGATATCATCAATTTGTCCCTTGGCACGGGGACATTCCCAGGGGAACTGAAGGAGGCAGTGGTGCGCCCGCTCTTAAAGAAAACATCATTAGATCCTTTAGATCTATCCAATTACCGCCCGGTTTCGAATCTTCCATTCAAGGGTAAGGTGATTGAGAGAGTGGTTGCTGAACAGCTTGGTGGGTTTCTGGATGAAACATCGGCTCTGGATCCATTCCAGTCCGGCTTCCGCGTTGGTCATGGGACCGAGACGGCTCTGGTTGCCGTAACAGATGATCTTCGTAGACAGCTGGATCGAGGCGGGTCGGGGCTGCTGATTCTTCTAGATCTGACAGCAGCTTTCGACATGGTCGATCACGAACTCCTGGACCACCACCTTGCCGACGTGGGGATCCAGGGCACAGTCCTTCAATGGCTGCGCTTGTTTCTCTCTGGTCGGGGACAGAGGGTGGCGCTTGGGGGGGAATTGTCATCGCGCCACTCCTTGGTGTGTGGAGTACCTCAGGGTGCGATACTCTCCCCAATGCTTTTCAACATCTTTATGCACCCCCTCGCTCAGCTTGTCCGGAGTTATGGGCTAGGTTGCCATCAGTATGCTGATGATACCCAACTCTATCTGTTGATGGATGGCCATCCTGACTCGGCCCCAGACACACTGACCAGATGTTTGGAAGCTGTGGCTGGATGGTTACGTGGGAGCCGGTTGAAGCTAAATCCTTCGAAGACAGAGGTCCTGTGGCTGGGATGGGATGATATGGGATTGGGTGGGCAACTCCCATCTCTTGCGGGGGTGCAATTAGTGCCTGCACTGTCCATTAAGAGTTTGGTTGTAATCTTTGACACCTCCCTTTCCATGGAGGCGCAGATTGCAGCTATAACAAAGGCGGCATTTTTCCATCTCCGCCAAGCTAAGCAGTTGTCTCCTTACCTCTCTCGCCCTGACCTAGCCACTGTGATCCACGCGATGGTCACCTCCAGACTGCATTATTGTAACTCGCTCTACGTGGGGCTGCCCTTGAGACTGACCCAGAAACTCCAGCGGGTGCAGAATGCTGCAGCGAGACTCCTTATGGGCTCTTCGCTGCGAGATCACATTCACCCGGTGCTATACCAGCTGCACTGGCTCCCGGTGGAGTACAGGATCAGGTTTAAGGTGCTGGTTTTAACCTTTAAAGCCCTATACGGCCTAGGACCCTCGTACCTATGGGACCGCCTCTCCTGGTATGCCCCACAGAGAAACTTACGGTCTTCAAATAAAAACATCTTGAAGGTCCCAGGCCACAGAGAGGTTAGGCTGGCCTCAACTAGAGCCAGGGCTTTTTCGGCTGTGGCTCCGATCTGGTGGAACACTCTGTCACAAGAGACTAGAGCCATGCGGGACTTGACATCTTTCCGCAGGGCCTGCAAGACAGAGCTGTTCCACCAGGCCTTTGGCCAGGGCACAGCCTGACTCCCTCCCTCGGCAATCTTCGTGGAGCTCTGGCCCAATGGTTGCCAGTGGCTTGATTTGAATTAATTTTATAATGAATGATTTTAGAGTGTTGTGTTGTATTTTTGTACTGTTTTATTGTTGTTAGCCGCCCTGAGCCCGGCTTCGGCTGGGGAGGGCGGGATATAAATAAAATTTATTATTATTATTATTATTCAAACCTTTTCCCTTGGCTACAGAAGGGGAACAGAGATGCCACAACAGTAACTACTCCTGCTAATGAGGTTATCACAATACTTTGACGTTCCCATAAGGCAGTTAAATACATTACCATGGAGATAGCATATTCGGCTTTCTGGAAGTTTCTTGATCATGCGGCCCATGAAGAATTCACTTCCAAAGTTTTCTGAAGGCACAAATGCTCCGTATTTCAGGAACCCCACCTCATAGGGAGTGAACTCCATCCATTCTACAATCAGAGGAAATAAAATACTGTAAGAGCAGAGAAAGGGACGCAGGTGGCGCTGTGGGTTAAACCACAGAGCCTAGGACTTGCCGATCAGAAGGTCGGCGGTTCAAATCCCTGTGACGGGGTGAGCTCCCATTGCTCGGTCCCAGCTCCTGCCAACCTAGCAGTTCGAAAGCACATCAAAGTGCAAGTAGATAAATAGGAACCGCTCCGGCGGGAAGGTAAACGGCGTTTCCGTGCGCTGCTCTGGTTCGCCAGAAGTGGCTTAGTCATGCTGGCCACATGACCTGGAAGCTGTCTGCGGACAAACGCCGGCTCCCTCGGCCCATAGAGCGAGATGAGCGCTGCAACCCCAGAGTCGGTCACGACTGGACCTAATGGTCAGGGGTCCCTTTACCTTTAAGAGCAGAGAAGGTGACTTTCAAACATAATGAAACTAAGGGCTTACACACACTTAACTTTCCACCGCTTTTCCAAGGCATGGTCTGTACCTTAGAATGCTGTGTTCAAGCAACCCCCCCTTTTTTGCCTTGTAAAAACCTGCTCTTTAAAGCTCAAGTGGAGCAAATGGCAATCCGCAGACAACTAGAATTGATGCTTGCTCCGACTGAGCTCGGACATGGAGCTTTCAAGTATGGACTTGTGCCTGGAAAGAGCGGTGCAAAAGGAAAGTGTGGATAAGCTCTAAATGGGCCTGTGGAGCTCATGTAAGACCAGCTTCCCATTCTCTGTGTTGTCCCAAGTGCATGATCTGCCTGTATGTGCAGCAGGAGGAGAGAAACAGATCTCTGTTGAGCCCAGAGGGCATCACACAGGTGCTGCACCCACACTAGGTAAAAAAAAACCTACCCCCTTGGTTTCTTTCTGATTCTTATTAACCAGGTATGATTTGTCAGAGAACTTTTTTTAAACCAAAAATTGCAGTCAAATACCTTCACACATAGAGGCTAGTCTATGTGAGAATACGTGGGATGCGGGTGGCACTGTGGTCTAAACCACTGAGCTTCTTGGGCTTGCTGACCAGAAGGTCGGCAGTTGGATCCCTACGACGGGGTGAGCTCCCGTTACTCTGTCCCAGCTCCTGCCAACCTAGCAGTTCGGAAGCATGCCAGTGCAAGTAGATAAATAGGTACCACTGTGGCGGGAAGGTAAACAGTGTTTCTGTGCACTCTGGCACTCATCACGGTCCTCCATGCGCCAGTAGCAGTTTAATCATGATGGCCACATGACCTGGAAAACTGTCTGTGGACAAACGCCGGTTCCCTTGACTTGAAAGTGAGATGAGGGTCACAACCCCATAGTCGCCTTTGACTGGACTTAACCATCCAGGTGTCCTCTACCTTTTACCTTATGTGAGAATAAGTGGCTAAGCAAACACTGGCTAGTACTCTGGCTAGTTTAAGAATGGAATTTTCTTACTCCCCTAATTCTAAGGCTGCAGCCCGAGACATCAGGTGTGGGGAACGTGATGTGTGCTCCAGTTGTCAGTGAGCTACAACTCCCATCATCCCTGGCCTTTGGCCATGCTTGGAGTTGGAGGTGAGCAACATTTGGAGAGCCAAAAGCTCCCTACATCTGCTATACATACTTAATGCATTGAACCTGAAGGAACTTACACAGAATTACATCGTAAAGGTGCTCTCCTATATATACCTATTTGCATGTAAGCCCCATTGTACGCAATGGGACTTCTGAGTATACAACTGCATTGCAAGGGCCATTGGATTTGTGGAGCTAACTTGTTATGTACTGAAGTTCTCACCCTGGGCCAGCAGGGGGATACTGTAGATAGTTATGCAAATGAAGGATCAAAAGTGACGTTCAGTGATTGGATAGTTTTAGAAAGTTGCTACAGTAACGTTGTACTGGAGCTCTATATAAGCAGGCTGGCTGAGCCCTTCAGTTCAGTTCTGTTCTGGCCTCAGAATAAACAAGAGCTGTTTGAAGAGCTGTTTGAAGCTGTGTCGTCTGATATGTTCACCCACAACTTAACATAACTGTGTAATAGTTTGGTTCTCGGGTATTATTTTCTGCTAATTTCCCCAAGATGTTTACTCGCTGCAGTATAAATGTAATGAAATGGCACAGAATCTTATAAACTCATAAAGCAGTCGAAAACACTCACTGCAATCAGCTGCCCACAGTATCACACAAAACAAACAGAAGGTTTGACCCACCTATTTCCATCTCAGTCATTCACATGTCATGGATTCCAAAGAGCTTCAAATGCAGAACAAGTTATTTGATTTCCTTACTCTTTCCCCTCACCTTTGAAATCTTGAGTACTGTATTTGTCCTTAATATTGATGGTCACATAGATGGGCAATGGATTCTGTCCATCTGTCAAAGATTCCCTCTGGTCTGAAAGCCTGTGGCAATCTTTCTAATTGTGAAGGGAGGGGGGAAACGTTACTTACAAAGCCATGGAACAGACACATGCAGTAACAACTAGCAAATCATCTTAGTGTTTAAACCAATGCCTAAAATAAACCTAAATCATAAAATATTAAAAGTTGAATGGGAATCCTGAGCTCATCTAGTCCAATTCCTGCTCTGGGTAGGAATCTTGTGACAGCAGCATCCTTGGCAGATCGACAACTGAGATCTAGTTCTAGTCATGCTGTCTGGAGCAAAAGATGAACAAACCCTGTCCCATCTTCGATTTGTGAATAATTATCCTATATCCACATAACCTTCTCCAGGCTAAGTATACCCAGCTTTTTCAAACTGTTCCTCACAGTATTTGGATTCCAGATTCCTCATCATACTGCTTGCCCTCCTCTAAATGCACTGCAGTTTTCAAAGTCTTTCTTAAAATTTGCTGCCCAGTATTCCAGATGCTCTGACCAGTACAGAACAGAGTGGGATGATTGCTTCTCGACGGCTGGACACCGTGCTTCTGTTAATGCAGAACAACATCTTAATATCGCCTGATTACCCCCCTGGCCATGGGTGGCTAAATCAGACACTTTATCCCAGTAGAAGTGATGGTACAACAAGCCTTAGGTTATTGAAATTTGTTCAGAAATGAAACCTGGATATATGTCTGTGCTACACCCCTCACTCTGACCTCAACACGTTTATTGTAAATTCTGTTGAGATATTCCAGGAAATATATGGAGATCAGGGGCACCAGTAGCAATCCTGAGTATATGCAAACATGTCACATTAATAAGGTTCTTTGGACATAGATTTGAACCCCCCCCCCTTTTAGCATTTACATTATTGACATTCCACCCTGGAATGATCATCCTATAGATATTTTAAGTGCCTACCACCCTAATAATTTAACCTTCATATTTATCACATTAGAGTCTCCTGGGGTGATTTTCAACTACCATGTCCGGTCAGTATAAGGATATCCATTGGCATAACAGGAATCTCCCCCCACAATAATAATAATAATAATAATCCCCATGTGTGCCCTTTCCAGATCTACTCCAGGGGGTTGGGAGAACTCCTAGAACAGATTTTGGAATGTGGAAGAACTCCTTGCAATGAAGGAACATTTAGAAGAGTTTGGATTTGATATCCCGCTTTATCACTACCCTAAGGAGTCTCAAAGCGGCTAACAATCTCCTTTCCCTTCCTCCCCCACAACAAACACTCTGTGAGGTGAGTGAGGCTGAGAAACTTCAGAGAAGTGCGACTAGCCCAAGGTCACCCAGCAGCTGCATGTGGAGAAGGGAATCGAACCTGGTTCACCAGATTATGAGTCCACCGCTCTTAACCACTACACCACACTGGCTTTAATTGATGCTACATTGGATTCCACCCCTGGTACCCCTGTACTATTTGCATTTTCCTCCAGAATTCTCATAGCAATGTTGCCCTTCATTTTTTATAATGCAGGTATTGGCAATTGTTTAGAACAAAAAGACAGATTTGATACTGTACCCCATCATTTATCAAATACTCTATGACAAGCCCCCAGAGATCTATAAATGTTGTATTGTATCCTTCTTGTTTCCGTTGACTCAGCTGTTGATAATAATATTTAATGCGCTCCATGGTAAACATCTCCATCTTGCTCTTGGTCACTTGTTTCTTAGCCTCATTTATTTTTTCATCAAGATCTTTCTGGGACCAATAAGCATCTCTGTACAGGTGTGTCATGGCCCTGGGGAAAAACAAAACAAAAAGACGTAAACATTTTTATGACCTAAGCTATTAATAATATCTTTTAATCCATACTGTTATTGATAATAATTATGAATAATAATATCTCTTGATATTATAAGGCATGGGTAGGCAAACTAAGGCCCAGAGGCCGGATCTGGCCCAATCGTCTTCTAAATCTGGCCTGCGGATGGTCCAGGAATCAGCGTGTTTTTACATGAGTAGAATGTGTACTTTTATTTAAAATGCATCTCTGGGTTATTTGTGGGGCAAAATATAGTCCGGCCCCCCACAAGGTCTGAGGGACAGTGGACCAGCCCCCTGCTGAAAAAGTTTGCTGACCCTTGTTATAAGGCATTGATATGAAATTAAAAGCGGCATGTTGTGGCCTAAACTTTCAAGGGCAAAAAAAGAAAAAGTAAGCACACAACCACACATATATGAAACACTGTATTCCACAAGTCAAAAATTCTAAGTCCAGGGCTAAGAGATCCATGCGTGCTGCACTTGGGTTCATACCACAGATTTGTATAAAGGCACTATGGTATTGGCAGGTGTGATCAGTATGTCATTTCTTCATTCATTAACAGTCCTAATTGATTTAAAAGACTCCACATGATGGTTCCACTTACCACGAAGTGCCAGACAAGCCAGACATGTACGTTACACAGTCTAGAAGATTTAATTTTTTTAGGCCCCTTATGCAGCCATATGTTGTTGTGAATGACCTTGTCCCACCTCCTGTTGTCATGACTGCCACCACTGGAACCTGTATGGCACACAGGCATAAGAAATCAATATACAGCTACTACAGGATGAAACATTTAGGAGGACGGAAGTTAAAACACAGCGGCTTACAATACATTTGTTGTATTAATGGCGTACCTTCTACACAGGTGAGAAGATGAACGGTTGCAATTTAAGGCTGCATATCTATGCATGTTTATGTGGAAGAAGGTTCCACAGAAGCCGTGTTTAATGAGTTTACTCTCAGGAAAATGTGCATAGGTTTATGGCCTTAGGAACTGTAGTGTTCAATTCACCATCACAAAGGGGTTTCAAAAGAGCTAAAGCCTGGAAGAATAAAGTTGGCCTACTTGACAAAGAAATCTGTAACTATTTTAGCTCAGTGGAGAAACGTGTTTAGGATTATAGCCTAAGCCATAATGACAGGTCTTGGCTAGTGTTAGTCCTGGCAAACTGCCAATTGTTAGGGCTTGCATAGATCAAGCCCTGAGGATCAGCTGATAGCTGGGACTTGCATAGCTCAATGCAAACCTAGATAACCAGCTTGTGCTTTTTAAACTCTGATGACAGGCTGATTGGCTGTGTGGGTACCAGGAGACTTAAATATCTACCGGTACTTCCCCATCACTGGCTTAAGCTATTGTAGAATGTGGCCAATCCACTTTATTTAGTTAATGTGCTTTTATCTCCCTTCAAAAAATTTTAAAACCCCACACATTTTTAGGGAAGTGATACATAGTACATACCATTCGGTAAGCCAAGAATTAGAATATTGCATTCACAGTTGGCAGTGGGTGGCATTACCCCATTTGGAAATTCTAAGGTGGTGAAATGATGGCCAGAGATGCTTTATACAACATAGGCAGCTACTTGTGAGATACAGTGGTACCTCGGGTTACATACGCTTCAGGTTACATACTCTTCAGGTTACAGACTCCGCTAAGAACTTTGCTTCAGGATAAGAACAGAAATCGTGCTCTGGCAGTGCGGCAGCAGCGGGAGGCCCCATTAGCTAAAGTGGTGCTTCAGATTAAGAACAGTTTCAGGTTAAGAACGGACCTCCAGAACGAATTAAGTACTGTATTTTTCACTCTATATGACGCACCAGACCACAAGACGCACCTAGTTTTTGGAGAAGGAAAACAAGAAAAAAAATATTCTGAATCTCAGAAGCCAGAACAGCAAGAGGAATCGCTACGCAGTGAAAGCAGCAATCCCTCTTGCTGTTCTGGCTTCTGGGATAGCTGCGCAGCCTGCATTCGTTCCATACGACACACACACATTTCCCTTTACTTTTTAGGAGAGAAAAAGTGAGTCTTATAGAGCAAAAAATACGGTACTTAACCCGAGGTACCACTGTATCCCAGTCAACTGCTGGAAACAATGAATGCACCAGTACACCAAAACACCAGTACTGGACAAAAATTGCGAAACACTTGCCGGTGAGTGCTCCAATTGGAGAACAGCCTTTACCAAAGGTGTCATGGGCTTGAAGACATTCAAACTCAGGACGTAAGGGAGAAATGTGCTAAGAGGAAGGCACGCTTGGCAAATCCACACCATGATCAATTCCCACCTGGAAACCAATGTCCCCACTGTGGAAGGACGTGTGGATCCAGAATTGGCCTCCACAGTCACTTATGGACTCATGGTTAAAACCGTGTTTATGGAAGACAATCTTACTCAGCTATGAGTGATCACCAAAGAAGAAGAAGAACATAAAATACAATGGTCTCGCAATAGGATTTTTATTTCAGATTTTTATTTTGATGTTATCCGAAACAAAAAACAAGGGGAGGATTAAAAAAAAAGGTAAAGGACCACTGACAGTTAAGCCAGTCGCAGACGACTCTGGGGTTGCGGTGCTCATCTTACTTTACAGGCCAATGGAGCCGGCGTTTGTCTGCAGACAGTTCTTCCGGGTCATGTGGCTAGCATGACTAAGCCGCTTCTGGTGAAACCAGAGCAGCACACGGAAACGCCGTTTACCTTCCCGCTGGAGCAGTTTCTCTCCCTTCCTCCTTCTTCCAATATGAAGGTGCAGTGGTTTCTCAGCTATTTCAGGGCTGACTCTGCAAATCATTTACTTTGTATACAGTGGTACCTCGGGTTAATTTGTTCTGGAGGTCCGTTCTTAACCTGAAACTGTTCTTAACCTGAGGTACCACTTTAGCTAATGGGGCCTCCCGCCGCCGCCCTGCCACCGCCGTGTGATTTCTGTTCTCTTCCTGAAGCAAAGTTCTTAACCTGAAGCACTATTTCTGGGTTAGCAGAGTCTGTAACCTGAAGCGTCTGTAAACTGAAGCATCTGTAACCTGAGGTACTGTGGGAGAAGCAGAACCTACAGGGTTAAGAGGTTCTGTGTGACGTCTTGCATCATGAGGCGTGGTCACAGACACTTACGGGAGTGGTTTGCTCTGAGTGTCTCAGTCTGCCTCTGGTACGCTATGCGAGAGGGAGGAGGATGGGCGAGGTTTCGCCAGGTCTGATTTATGTTGTTATTCTACTTGATTAAAGGCTAAGAAGATAAGGAAAGCCTTGTGTCTGCTTTGAGTTATTACCTACACGCTGCAATTCGCTTCTAACTGCTGCTATTGCTCTGCTACCGGCTGAAGAGGCAGAGGACTTTTGGAGCGGCACGGAGAGTAAGCAGAGCTGCGCAATGGAAGTGTGCCGGACGCCATGATGATTGGCCTATCTCGTTACTTTTGGCCTCTAGCCGGAACAGGTACCACTGTACTTGCTGGGATGCTATCTCTGTTTACACTTGACACATTCTGCCATGGTTGCTTGGCTAATTCTATGTTATTTTCTACACTTGGCTTCCAGACATTTGCACAGCAAAAATATATCACCAAGTCGGTTTCATGTTGTGATGCTTGCTTCTGCAAGACTTCTAAAACAAACAAACAAACAAACAAACAAAAAACCCCACTTCAGACTGCAGTGAACATGCATTCAGAAAAAGCAGAATTGGATGGCAGAATTACAAAGGTGGAATGTGGCAAGATAATAAATTCCACAGGATAATAAATTCACCCTTAGCATAAATCAGCAACCCATTTCACATACCTCATGATCTTGCAAGTCATAATCTAGTTGGAGAACCTGCTTCAGAGCCTGAGCAACATATCTCCTCCGTTTGTATAAGAACTCTTCTTCCTGTGGGCATATGTCATATCCCAAGCGCACATCGAGGTCTGCTGGGCAGGAACAATGACTAGGACATACACAGGCATTATATATAGATATCTTATCCAAATATATGAGAAATCTTAGGATTTTATCAAGCAGAAATGTAACAGAATAGATTACTGCTTGGGATCATTCAGCATCATATTATGGGAAATAACCATAGACAATTCAGTTATTGTCCTGCCCCAACTGGGCATTGTGTTATTTGATAGATTGGCCCCTGGTCTCCATATTTAAAACTGGTCTATTTTTCACATTGTTGAGAAACTGATTAAACCTTAGTATCTATTATCAGGCATTAATGCTGAATCCTAATCCTGTTTAGGCTAATTTCAACAGAAGGTGGAGGGGGGAAGGAGCCCCCACTTGGCTTTGTTTACTGCCATTCCATAACATTTATTTTATCTTGCTCATATTCAAACTTCTATACAGCTAAGTATTTGATCATCTGCTTTTGTAAGTTATTTGCTGTCCATGATATTAATAAAGTTGGGTTATTTGAGTTTATTTGGTATAGATAGACACATAGCCTAATGTGTGTTGAGGCTATTTCACACAATATCATACTGAATGCCCAGAAAGGTTTTTTAGAATACTGTTTTATTGTTTATATAACTTTTAAAATTTATAAGAATATTTTTATTTTCTGATGACTGCACATCACACATGATTTACTTTTGTTTTGTTTTATTTTTGTTTTGTATTTTATTCTGTGAACTGTCCTGAAATATTTTGGAATAGGAGGGTATATAAATTTAATAAATAAATAAACAAGGTAGCTTGCCGTTAAAAATGCAGTTTCACAGTAAAACCACAGCTTCAGTCAAAGATAATAGACACAAGTATGGCGGATACCATTCTAAACAAATCTTAAAATGAAAGCATCATTTACTTGGCAGGAAGTGGGGTGTTAGGGTTGCTCTAAAACATTAGCCTGTGTTGCATGTTATATTCCCTGGATTCCCTTTAAAGGGCTAATAAAATGAATACAATATTCTAATCATGTTCTGGCAACTGTCACAGATCAAATGTGGTGTTTAAATAGCTTTCCCCCCTCAAAAAACCACTTGTAACTGGATTTGTAATGGCTTTTAGTCAAATGCAATAAATGATTGATTGATTGATTGGGGGGGGGGAACCACATAAGAGCATACAAAATTATGAGAGGCAACTTGTTTCATATTGTCACTACAAAAAATTAATCATTAAGGATGCTTACCAGTCATCTACTTGCACGTGCAAATTGTACTTTTTCTTCTGAAAAGCAGGAAGTAAATGTCACATAGGGCAATCATAATTTAATATTAAGGTAAAGGTAAAGGTAAAGGTACCCCTGCCCGTACGGGCCAGTCTTGACAGACTCTAGGGTTGTGCGCCCATTTCACTCAAGAGGCCGGGGGCCAGCGCTGTCAGGAGACACTTCCGGGTCACATGGCCAGCGTGACATCGCTGCTCTGGCGAGCCAGAGCCGCACACGGAAACGCTGTTTACCTTCCCGCTAGTAAGCGGTCCCTATTTATCTACTTGCACCCGGGGGTGCTTTCAAACTGCTAGGTTGGCAGGCGCTGGGACCAAACAACGGGAGCGCACCCCGCTGCGGGGATTCGAACCGCCGACCTTTCGATCAGCAAGCCCTAGGCGCTGAGGCTTTTACCCACAGCGCCACCCGCGTCCCAATTTAATATTACTACACAGCTAAATGACTAAACAACAACAACAACTCTCATTCCAATTGTCTGAAGTGAAGGACTAGATGTAAAAACCCCACTCTCTCTCTCACACACAGAAGTTGACTGAAGTTGTGATTAAATATTACTTCAGCACTGGCAATACTTTTTTTTTGAGATGTTTACACTGTTGTGGAGAAAACTGCCCTGATTATGTGGTGAGCCACTTCACATAAACAGGCTGCCATATGATAATGTGGTATTCCTCACATGAAGAAAAAACTCTGGAAAATGGCTCCACATAGTGGCCACAGATTGCTGAAGGAACTGAATATCTGAGAACTCTACTGTGAATGAACTTGATCTGCACCTCCTAGACTAATGCGAAGATCAGAACATAATTATTCTCAATCCTCATAATTATGGTTCTCAGATACACACACACACACACACACACACACACACACACACTGGCCACATGACCTGGAAGCTGTCTGCGGACAAATGCCGGCTCCCTTGGCCTATAGAGCGAGATGAGCGCGCAACCCCTGAGTGGTCCGCAACTGGCCCAGTGGTCAGGAGTACCTTCACCTTTACACACACACACACACACACACACACACACACACACAAGTGTGCATTTTTGGATACAATATATTTAGAAATTCATACATTGAAATAAATACATATTTAAATTTGGATTTTCGTACAGTTTTTTTAAACAACAACAACAACAAACAAACAAACCACAAATTGATGGAGAAGTGGGGTGAACGCACACATGCAAAACTGACTAGAAATGGCTTCATTTTTTCAACCTGAATATGTAAGCTGCTCTCCTTTTCCTGCCTCACACTGGGAAGGGGACACGATGCGGCTTCAGGTCAATTTCAGCCCACAACTTGCAGCCAATTTTGCATGAATATGGCTTAGATGTGCTTCCCTATGGGGAGCAGGGTATGGCTTTAGGTCAGTGGGACCATGCATACTTGCGGCATTTACTGCTTGCAGCACACCACAATACTGTTTGCTGCTGGTTAATGTTAAAATGCACTTGTGAAATCACTTACATTTACTCAGAGACTTAATCAATATATTCACATGGGATGGAGAAACAATTTTGCGTGCCCCTCCCCCCTTCCCAAGAGAGTGCATGCTTACATTTTGCTGCCTTGCAAATGTGACACATACAGAGTTAATATCCCAGTTGTTGTGTTGTTGTTGTTTTAAAAAACCCCTGGCCCAATGGTTTCCTTCTATAGATTTTAATTTTTGTTACCCAGACAAAAAAAGTGTATGTGCACACATCATTTTCTCTTGGGGAGGAGGAATTCCAGGTTGTATTTTGTTTTGTGATGTAACTGATGCCCTCTATCCCAATTTGCTTTTCAATCCATCTCATAATTCTCAACTTCTCCTCCTTATACATTCCAACTATGTAAGGGAGTGTGGGGACCTCTGTGTGAGAGATTGCCCAGGGTAGGTTTATTTGCAAATGTGGATTGCGATTGCCCCCACCCATTTCAATGTAACAGCACCCCTGTGGCGATAGCTGAGACTTGTACACTTTTAAAAAAGTTGGAGGTTGTTAGCTTTTCCTAAAATAGAAATAATCCAGAAAGTTTTGTGTCAAAGCTCAAAGGAGAAAACAGGCAGAGCGCTTGATGACAAAAAGTACTTGAAACTTGTTGCTGTACAGAAAGTTGGACGTCATCTGCCATCTTACTGCAGCCCTGCCCTAAGCAGTTAAGCTGCAGCAATGCAGCTACAGAGTCTGGAGGGCATATCCATGGTTCCTCCTTATCACAAAGACCACTGCTGAAACTATACCTAGCTTCTGGGCCCCAGTTAGTTTGTAATCTGAAGCATTAACCTTTGGACTCAGCCCTGGTATGAACCAAGTCTTATAAAAGTTACTATTAAAAGGGACTTAAAGGGGATGGCAAGTTCAGAAGACCCTACATTTTAATACTTCGGAGTTCGTTCGTTCATACATTCCACAAGGTAGAACAATGGAAGCACCCAGAATGTCCTATGCCATTCCCATGGGATTCCCTAGGATTTAGAGTGGACAGAAGCAAGCTTGCTTCAAGAAGAAAAGGTCGCCTCTTCAATAGGAACCTATAAAGTGCTTTCCAGAATCCTCAAGTTCTGGGGAGGCAGGTAGAATTACCTCAGGGTTTGATTGTAATGAGCCATCCTTGTTTTCCACCATAGTTGTTGCCATATCAACTCAGTCTAGGAATTATTTGCTACTGGTTTAATACTTTCAGAATGCTACTACTGAAAAATGGCACTCACCTCCACTATTGGTACTTTCTCTCCCATGGGCAGGGAATTCAACATGACAGGTAGAACGTTGGTTTTGGTGCTATAAGAACAGGTAATCTGAGGAAGAGGAGAAATATTGGGTGAAATTGAATGCAGCACTAAATAGGGTATGTACACGGAATGGGGTCCAGTAGCACAACATGACTTCCTCACCTCTCCTTCTCCTGTATCCCCAAACCTATTCTTTGGTTCCCTCACCATCCAGAGCAGATTTAGGGCATGGGGAGGTGCAGAGGAGGGAGGCAAGGAGGAAATGTCCCATAGTGCCAGCAGATCTTTTTCTGTGCATGCAACAATTTAGCTGAATCCCACCTGATCATCCTGGTCAGAAAAACCTTGTACTGTTTTCTTCTGAAGGGAAACTTTTGTGGTTTCAATTATTAAAATCAGTTGACTTACAGGATTATAGTGTGTCTTCTTTGGTAGCATAATGTCCATTGCCGGATCCTTGTACTTGACATAGTGGAACGTAGTTGGGCATGGCGGTATAATGAGAGCATCCGAACCCATCTTAAAACAGTGAGTGCCTTCGCAGGAACCTTTCACTGAAAGCGCAAGGTCTTTCTCTAAAGACAGGGGACAAAGCATGAAGAGAAACCTGTCATTGCATTTGTTTCCATAATGAACAATTTTGGATGAACACAATAAATTTTAAAAGAAACTACTTGGGAAAGGGAAAGGATCAGCTCTCAAACCACTCAGCACATTAGTGTAAACATTACCATTTTGAGGAAAGTAAACTGCATAGTTCTCCAACATGTGGACTAGGATTAGCCATTAAATAAAGGATGGGTAACCTGTGGCCCTCCAGGTGCTGTTGGATCTCCCATTATCCCTGGTCATTAGCCATGCTGGCTTGGGCTGAGGAGAGTTGGAGTCCAACAACACTGGAAGGGCCCCAGTTCCCTATCCCTGCTTTAAATGGATCTGACAATGTGCATCTGTCTTCAGGGCTACTATGGTATTACCAGATATTATGCTGGAAAACTAATTTCAGTCATGGTGTTCTTAAACACTTGCTTGGATTAAGTGTTCTACTGACCACCAAAACAGAAAAGAAAATTATAATACTGCAAGCCTCCTTGCGATTTGCTTTTGTCTATTGTTTTTGTCCAAGCAGATGGAATTCAGGTAGATCATTAGTTGAAGAAGGGGGCAGGAAAAAGGCAGGGCACATACCTGAGGGCTATGTTCTACCTCCACAGTTGAAGGAAGCATGCTTCTGAATACCAGTTAATGGAAACTGCAGAAACAGAGAGTGCTGACGCACTCAGGTCCTGCTTGCAGGCTTACCATTGGCAGCTGGTTGACCACTGTGAGAACAGGTTGCAGTACTGGAAGGGCCACTGGCCCAATTCAGCAGGCTCTTATTACCCTCTTCTTATATCCACCCTCCACTTCACACTCCAGTATGGATCTGCTCATCCCCTCCCCACAACGCAACCAGGTTCTGGACAGCCTCCTTCAAGTCACTATATCTCATCTTTAGTACACCTCCATTTTGGAACAGCAATAATGCACTGGCCTGATTGGCTCTCAGCTTGCAAGTAATAATAGTATCAGCACCATAATGACTGGAAAGTACCTCATAAAGCAAAAACAACTTCCCAGACGCTTTGGCACTTGTGCACAAAGGTACCTTTGCAACCCTCACAGTGAGGGCTGCACAGACAATGCTGTTGTCATTTGTTCTCCTCTATAATGTTAGTGAAATGCCCACAAAGAGGCTAGAATATTGTAATGTGCTCATAAAGATGGGCTGTACCCACTACTGAGTGAGCAGTGGTCCAACTGCCCTTCTCAGGTGACTTTGCCCCACTTTTCTCTCAGCTCCTCCTTACTGTCTAGTGGGTGTCCCAGGCCTGCTAAAGATGCCTAGCAGACTGAATTGCTGTTTTGAAATCTGAAACCTGGGACAGTTTGGGAAGCTGGAGCATGACATTTTCAGGCAAAAGTCAATAGGGTAAAGGAAAATGATTGCTCTACTCTAGCTTGTAATACTATAGCAGCCATTCATTCTGAACTACAAGGTCTATTACCTTCTTCTTGTGCTTCTCAGCTTTCAGAAAGCACTTCCATGGTGGTGATTAAGGAAAGCAGAATTTGCTAGACTTGCTTGCATTGGGTCTGGTTTAGTCTGTATATCAGTATCAGAGGTTAATAAATCCCCCTTCTTTACCACAACACAAATAAACTCACTTGATTTACGGGGCTTCTTCTGGTCCACCTCTGCTTTCAATTCGCAAACCTCACGACACTGTAGCAGAAATGAGCAACAAACAAAATTAACAGGGATCAGCTGGAATTGTCAAGTATAACTGCATGTTATACTTGAGGTTCAGCTAATTTATATCCAAATATCACTCTTGCTTGAGTACCGTTAAAAGCCAATATAGGAGACTTCAATTCATATTGGTCATTATAATTTTACACTGATCATTGTAAATTTTTGCAAACCTGTACTTACTGAAGATGTTGGATTTTAACCCTGTCTCAAATAACATTTAGATATCAATTGGCTGAACTCTTAGAAGACATTGTGTAAGAAAATAGGCTACTAAAGAAGGCTGCCAAGCTGAAATGTGTTTGGCATTGGCATTCCAGAAAATCTGACTGATGAACATTAGGAAGATCATATATTAGCATTTTAGTTATCTAAAGAGCAGCATTGAAGAAGCATAAGCACAACCCATGTACTGTATAGAGGGTGTTTCATTATATCCATATTATTGTATGGTTCTCCATATGTTGTGGAAATGTTATTTTGACTTATGGTATGTTTATAGATTTATCTGCTTTAGTTATTATGTTACAGAGTTCTTATATTCGTTATTCAGATTTCTGGAATTTTGTATCCTCCCCCTCTATCTTTTTTACTAGAAGCAGGTGGTCCTTAAGAGTTGTTTGGAAGCAATCCCGCTTAATGGGATCTTGAAGGACTTGAGTGTTGATTTTGCGCCTTCGTTTCCTTCCTTGAAGCCTGCGTTGAGGTATAATCTTGATAACCATCGTGGAGCATATTAGTCGTGATGTGTCCAGCAGTCGTTGGCGCTCGTCATAACCAATGTCCCCACTGTGGAAGGATGTGTGGGTCCAGAATTGACCTCCACAGTCACTTACGGACTCATTGTTAAAACTGTGTTTATGGAAGACCATCTTACTCGGCTACGCGTGATCGCCAAAGAGAGAAGAGAGATCTTTTTTACTGAAAGCTTCAGCTCCATTTTTAGGTAGTAAAATTTAACACATTTGAGGCTGATGTAGCAGAGCGCTCTCAGCGGTTGAGCTAGGAACCAACAGTTTCTTAGATCACACAGGTATTATCAGCATTGATAAATTGCAGAAATAAAAAATTACCACTAGGACGCCATTTGTTATGATGGTTTCAGGTGGGCCAGGCCTAGGAAACAAATATAAGAGTATAGGTACAGGGCAAACAAAAGTTTCTTTCCAGTCTGATCCTAAATAATGGGCTCCCTTCAAAGAAAATGCAACAGATCCATTTACCCTAGAGTTTTAACACTGCTTTAGCTTCCATGAACCTAAATTGTAGCCCAATTCTTACTTTTAAGTTGCAATATGGTTGCTGCTTCTTGAGGGCTCCAGCATAAACTAGTCTGGTAAATGTAGGCATGAACACCAAAACCATACAGCAGAGGTGGATGGCCAATACTTGTGCTGCTTCCCATCCAGGCTCCTTACATTTGACAGGATCAAGCCCTTCCCATATGGCTCCATGTCACATAAAGTCAATGACAGTCAATTATAACTTTTCTGGAGGTTTGATGTCTTAGAAATCTATTTTTATTAATAATGGAATTCTTAAAGGGTAAAATTGCCCAGATCAAGTGAATTCTGGCTTTGTGCCTGCACAGATAATTCTTAACCAATCTGATGGTCGGTGCTGATCACCTCTTTGGGAGGGAGAGAAAAGGTCATTTGGATCTAGTATACTTCAAGCAAGGGATCAGCACCAACCATCTGTTTATAGGAGATGGAAGTGAGGCATCCTTCCCCATGTGAGAAAGAGTGGGGGGTCGGAACGAAGGGAACATTTGCAAGCAATATTCATGTTGGTGATAATAATGTTGTGAGCAAAGCTGAAACCTACTAGAGAAAGCTATGTTTCCAACCAAACAGTTTTGCTCAGTTTGCTCACCAAACTTTCCATTTTTATCCAACTAATTCAGCAGCATTGTATACATTTATATCCCACCTTTCTTCCATCACAGAACTCAAGGGGACATGTATCAGATTCTCAGGTAATGCTGACCAGACTCAAACCTTCTTAACTTCAATTATCATATTCTTCTAGATCTAATAAATCTGTGTTCTCCAATAATATCCGATCCCTCAGCCAGCAGATCTGGCAGCGAGAATCCACCTCTTTCCTTTGTATCTGTAAGTAGTTTATATTTAATTTTTGGTTGTTTCCCCCCCCCGACAGTTAAACTTCAATAATGTTTTTTGCCAATCTTTGAATTGCCCCACCTCGCTGTTCACTGGGATTGTTTGAAATAAAAACAACATTTTTGGTAGCACATTCATCTTTACAGCAGATATTCTTCCTGCTTCTTAACTTCAGTAAGGTCGTTCTATAGTATGCTTTTGAGTTAATACATAGAACTCTTTTGTCCTAACATTTCTCAACAAAATTTATTTATTGTCTTTGGAATCCAAACAAAATTTAAAATAAAAATGGGGAACATTGAAATGCAACAGAAAAACAAAATTTCAGATTCAAAAATTAAGTCTGGCTACATTCTGAGTTTGTGTAGCTCTCTTTCGGCTCTATAACTGCCTGTATCTTTGTATACTAACGTCAGGAATTCTGATGCTCATTATTTACCTTTGCCTTAATTCTGCACCTGATAATTATATTTATTTATTTATTTGAAATAAATGCACATTTTATTTTTATTTTATTTTAAAAGTAAAAGCAATGTAGAAAATTTAAGCGTTTAACATACTTACGCAGGCTCCACCAAAAATTCAATTTCCAGCTCTTCTTGTTTCTATTTCCAAGAAGAAAGAAAAGGAAAAAGAAGAAATTGTTGCACACAATTCCTTTCTTTCTGAAATTAAAATTATCACATTGCAGAGTTGTTGCGGGACACACATAGGAATATAGGGTGTCGCCTTATAGTGAGTCAGACAATTGGCTCATCCAGCTCAATACTGGCTATACTGAGATTTGCTGCCTCACATAGAATCCCTTGATCCTTTGTTCTTCTTAATCAACCAAGCCTATCACCTCAACACAGAAATATTAGCCTGGCTTAATCAGCTTTTAATTCTTGCTGATTCCAGCGGAGTAAAAGTGTCTAGCACACAGCCTAATACACATGGGTCTGGCTAAATACACACAGTCTAGCACAAATTCTTAATACTCCAAGCATTGATTAAAATCGAACACTAGCTTCATCCGGACATAATGGTGGTGGCGGTGGCGATAATATTTATACTCCACCCATCTGGCTGTGTTTCCCCATCCACTCTGAGCAGCTTACAACACATTTAAAAAACACATAGTAAAACATTATAGAGGTCTAGTGCCCACAAAATCACAACAGTATCTCGTTCTTACAAGCCACCTTGGTGTTCAGATCTCACCTGTGGTTCAGACTTAAAATACATGAGAACTCTTTCACCAAGTGGAAGCCGAGCAACATCAAAGGATATAGTGAAGAGGAGCTCATCTGGAGTGAAAAGATCTTCATCAAAGACAGACATCTCTAACAAATTCTGTGAGAATCAGTTAAATATATTAGATGCAGGATATAATCTGTGTCTATAAAAGCAGCCTTCATCTGCCCCACCTGCAAAAAAAACATGTCTCTCCCATATCATTCTGTACAGCCACATCAGGCACTATAACTACAATGGTACACTTCACCCCAAAGCTACAGTTTTCTGTTGTCTCCCAAGACAGATGCCAACCATAAGAGCAGTGAGGTATTTGGAATCGTCTTCTAAGTCTGGAGTAGGAAACCTTTTTTCCACTCTCAGGGTGTCATTCACTTCTGGGCAACCTTCCAAAGGTCACACACTAGTGACGGGCAGTGTCCGAGGCAACAGTGGACAAACCAATAAATGCAATATGTACTCTAGTTTCTCCACAAATTCCATCCTCCATTTATGCAAGGAAGAAGCGTTATGGGCAGCAGTGTCCAGTTGTGTGGCAATGTAGATGAGACTTCATTGCTTCCCTGGCTTTTGAACACAGCACATGACTGAAGATTACTGGAGGAACAGGGGCAAGGGGAGAGAGAGCTCAGTGCTGTGCAGCACAGCCAATCTTACACACTTAACCAGTATTGTCAGGGACTGGACATCGGAGGAATGGTGCACTTCCCAGAGAAGAGGGAGACAATATAGATTTACAAGAGTGGTTTGCTGAAGGTCATAGTTCAGAGGTTGCAGAGGGGAGAAGCTGGGAAATATTGGGGGAGGAGCAGGAGGAAGAAGAAGCACCAGGAGAGAAACAGCTGACAGACTCAGCGCCTTTAGAAAGCAGTCCAGATCCCCCCTCTCCCAGGACCTGGCGGGCATGGAAAGTAGGAGAATAGAAAGCTCAGAGGCAGAAAGCACAGATCAGCCGACGCAGGGATGACGTATAATAGGAGAGATGGAGGGGATGGGGTTTTTACTCAGAGCAATGCCATTATCTAAGAGGCAACGTCCTACATCTCTGTGAATATTGAATAAAATACCTTCTTGTTTTTTTCCATTACTGGCAGCCTGCCATGAGGGAGGAGGATTGGATTCCCTTAAGCCTGGCATTATGTATCTGCACAGTGCTGAGTTCCCCACACCTTGCGCCTCTCCCTCCAGTGATGCCTTGCACAAACACAATAGCAGTCAGTGGGGTGCCATGGGTGGGGCTGCATTGCTCTCCCATCTTCCCAATGCCATGGCCTGCTGCCAGTACCAAACCGGGGGGGGGGGATGGCAAGACAACCAGGAGCTCAGGATGGTGCAGGCTGGGCAACAAAGCCAATTGGAGGCTGTCAGTGTTGCACCCACAACATGCCAAGCTCCACTGCCCCTGCCCTTGCCAGTCCTGGCAGCAGCATGTTGTGTTGGGGAGACAGGAGAGCAATGCAGCCTTGCTTGCACTGCCCTGCTGATGGATACTGCCCATCCACACATATGCAGATGTCTTGCAATCAAAAACAGGCAAAGGATCGTGTATACAGTGGTACCTTGGTTTACGAACTTAATCCATTCCGGAAGTCTGTTCTTAAACCAAAGCGTTCTTAAACCAAGGCGTGCTTTCCCATAGCAGCGGGGGACTCAATTTACAAATGGAGCACACTCAACAGGAAGCGAAACATGTTTTGCTTCCAAGGCAAAGTTCACAAACCAAAACACCACCTTCCGGGTTTGCAGCGTTCTTAATCCAAGTTGTTCATAAACTAAGCTGTTCTTAAACCAAGGTACCACCGTATTAGGAGCAGGAGAAGAATGCACATGTGATGGTATTATCTTGTTGAAAAAGCCAGCTCAGAACAGTGCACAACTGAAAGTCTCACCTTGACTTGGTTTTGAATCCTATAATAAAACGTTTCATTCCAAACAGGGTTCTTGCTATTATTAACAGTTTTGGTCCGCACTTTTTCACATGAAGAAGTAGGTAACCAGAGGGTCACGTAACAATCAGACTGGCTTACTGTGTAAAAGAAGAACAGCATAATAAGTAGTGTTGTCAGCATTTGTTGTCCCTTTCAATGCACTTTGATCTGGAGCCATTAGCACAGAAATCTGATTCTTTCCTCTCACAAGCTTCCATTTCTTCATTACGAGCTGCAAAGCTTGCATTTTGTCCATATCCTCACTGCATGGTAGTAACTCAGAAGTGACAAAGAAAAAGGGTTTGGTTGAGACTCCTTTCCAATACAGTGGTGCCCCGCAAGACGAATGCCTCGCAAGACGAAAAACTCGCTAGACGAAAGGGTTTTCCGTTTTTTGAGTTGTTCCGCAAGACGAATTTCCCTATGGGCTTGCTTCGCAAGACGAAACGTCTTGCGAGATCTTGCGAGTTTGTTTCCTTTTTCTTAAAGCCGCTAAGCCGCTAATAGCCGTGCTTCGCAAGACGAAAAAACCGCAAGACAAAGAGACTCGCGGAACGGATTAATTTCGTCTTGCGAGGCACCACTGTATTTGCCCAAACATGGTTTGGAAATCAGGGCAAATACACCTTAAATGTTTTTGCTAAAGTGAGATTACTTTGGCACACATCTCAAACCCCACTCCTGCCATTGAATGAAACCATTCAACAATTTTCTAATTATGTTGCCGAAACTCATAACTGCCTAGTTCAGAACACAAATTTGTGAGCTTATTAGATATAATATGAATTGAACTGCAGACAGCTACCACAGATAACAATTTAAATAAATCTCTACACTGTGACCAATTGATGTACGTTATTCCTTTTCCATTGGCCTTGACAATAAGAAAGTGTTACATTTTACAGTGTGCAGTCCTGGTTTATGTTGTGGGATGGGTAATTCAAATAGAGGCAACACTGGCTACATTTGGATGTCATGGTAAACCATGGTTTCAGATTGGCTTGCCTCAAACAACATTATGATGTTTCAGATTCATATACATCAACCACAGTTAGTTGATTTGAAAATTAAAGGACAAACTGTGGTTAAACAGAAACAGAAAAAAACGCTTCTAGACTTCTCCTTACAGCAATACTGAAGAAGACATGAGACAGAAGGACCACACAAGGCTCATGGCATCTCATCTCAGTTCATTTATTATGATAATATGGCCACATTATATAAAACAACAGTGTTGTTGTATCCACCCTAACATTAATGCCAAGCTACTTAAACCAAAATCACAGAGACATAAACCATTAATTTGGGAACACCCAAAACAAAAAGGTATGCAAATAAACCAACTGCAACTCCTGTTCATATGACCATTTCCAATATATTGACAAATACATTTGTTGCAAATCTATTCAGAAGTTCCTAAACTGTATTTATGCGGGCGGGGGTTGCATGTCAGCCTTTCATATGGGAAAGTCTGAAGAGGGGTTGTAAGTAGGAATGTAAGGGAATTTTAATGAAAACAAACATTGGAAAACAGACTGCATATTTGTTTGCTTATTTGTCCCCTGTCCAGAACAGAAATAAATCCTACAGATACCATTGATATTTGCAGCTGCTGTTGTTTTCAGTGGTTATATCATGCTGTCCTGTGCACATTGTTCCCTGTGAACTACTATTTTATTTCAGAAACCTAAAGTAAATTATAAAGACAGTAGCAATGTTCAGATGTTTGCCTAACGCATGAAGAGTTATGCTGGGGGTGGGGACAGAATTCACCTGCAAGGTCCACCTCCGATGTATTGTGACACACTAACTGCTCTTTTGGATCTTTGCACAATTAGCTCAAAAGTCTGAAGAGGGTTTTTCAATATATTTGACTGAATTTGCTTGGAAATTATCCCTGATAAGCCAGGGTTCTCACTTGTGTGTCCTTAAGCACATTCAACTCAAAACTGAGTACTCACTAATGGTTTATAAACAACATGGACAAAGGAACTGAGAGGACATCAAACTGGGAGGGGTAGCTAATATCGCAGAAGATGGAACCAGAAGATTGGAGAACTGGCCCCAAACTAACAAAATGAATTTCAAAAGGGACAAATGTATGGTTCTAGATTTAGGCAGGAAGAACCAGCTGCACAGATATAAAATACCTGACTCTCCAGTAACACATGTGAAAAAGACCTAGGGGTCTTAGTATACCACAAGCTTAACATGAGTCAACAGTGTGATGCAGCAGCAGCAACAAAACAAAGGGGGAAAAAACCCCAATGTTATCCTAGGCTGCATCAACAGAATGGCCCAATAAAAGGAATAGCACTGTTCTAGTCTGCTTTGGTCAGACCACACCTGGAGTACTGTATCCAGTTCTGGGTACCACAATTTAAGAAGGAAGTTGACAAGCTGGAACATGGGCAGAGGACGGCAACCAAAATGATCAAGGGTCTAGAAATCAAGCCTTAGAAGGAGTCACTTGAAGGAGCTGGGTATGTTTTGCCTGGAAAAGAGGAGACTGAGAGGAGATATGATAGATATTTTCAAATATCTCAAGGGCTGTCACATGCAAGAGGGAACAAGCTTGTTTTCTCCTGCTCTGGAGGGTAGGACTTGAACTAATGGCTTCAAGTTACAAGAAAGGAGATTCTGACTAAACATCAGGAATAACTTTCTGTCAGTAAGAGCTGTTTGACAGTGGAACAGACTCCCACAGGAGGTGGTGGACTCTCCTTCCTGGGAGATTTTTAAGCAGAGGTTGGATGGTCATTCACCATGCAGAAGATTTCTGCAAAGCAGGGAGTTGGGTTTGATGATTTTCAGGGTCCCTTCCAACTCCACGATCTATGGGGCAGCATTCAACTAAATTATTCTACATGGGCATTGCCCTCACGCAAGTGATGTCACATTTATAAACTGGTACTCCATGCATAGAGTCTTCCTTTTGGTGTCAATGGCTCCCAGGGACATGCAGAACTGGATTGAATATCTCCATACGATTGGGCTGAACATTGTGTGGTGCCAGTGGCGTAGCATGGGGGTGCAGGGGGGGCCGGCCGCACCGGGCGCAACATCTGGGGTTAGGGCAAATCCACAGGTTAGGGGGCGCAAATCCACGGGTTAGGGGGCGCAAATCCACGGGTTAGGGGGCACAAATTATTTGCCTTGCCCCGGGTGCTGACAACCCACGCTACGCCACTGTGTGGTGCACTACCTCCTGGATGCAGGCTTCTGGTGACTTCTCCATAAGGGCAGGAGGAAACAAAGCCCATAATTACCACTTTAGGTTATTTGAGATTGACATCTCTGATATCTCTTAGATCTGTGGGTTATGTGACAGTTCACTACTCCATAAAGCAGGGCGGGCTTCAGGTCCACATTAGTACAGTGGCCAGTATTCATCCCTGTCATATAGGTGGCTAGAGATTGATTTGTTCATGGAGAGCCCCTCTCTTGAGATAGAGGACATAGCCTAATGGCAGAGCATGTGCTTTGCCTGCACAATTCCTCAGGTTCAATTTGTAGCATCTTCAGTCAAAAGAAAGATTAGGTTGCAGGTGATGGAAAAAAGCCTTTGCTTAAGACGCTGGTAAGGATGGAAGGATCTGCCAATACCTGTTATTTCAGTTTCTCCCAATCCTAAAACCTGATCTTCCCATTTCTGCTGCAATTTGCAGTTTTTAAAAAGATGCTCAGGAAAATTATTTAGCATTTTAGTGTGAATTTCTCCTAATAAACATGTTTTTGTACACAGTTTCGACTAATGTAAGCATTTTGGCAAGCAATTTCTACTAATATAATGTTGTTTGTCTGCCATTTTCACTAATGGCACAAGATTCAGATAAGTGTGAATTTTGATAAATTCAGCTTTAAATGTGAATGGCATTGAATTTCTTCCCCATCCTTAGATTGGAGAGCTATTGCCAGTCAGAGTAGATAATCCTGGCCTGGACATGACCTGATATAAGTTCTCTGAGCAAAAGTGATTGTGAGAATATCTGAGGGCTTTTTCTCCTTTACTCAGGAACCTCCTTATATTAAAGAGACCAATTTGGTGGACATTTCAGATAAACTTCGGGACTACTCAAATGCCTTTAGCATCACTATGTGGGATCTACCTGTTTGTGATTAATGGTGCAATCCTATGCATGCCAACTCAGAAATAAGCCCCATTAAATTCAATGGGATTTACTCCTAGGTAAATGTGTAGAGGTTGCAGCCTAAGCCAAAACAATCCCTCCCACTCTGCTTTCCCCCGTTCCATATTTTCACCAGATCTTTTGCAAGGCAAACCAGGCAAACCAGTTTATTCTCCTGTTCTCCTTTCCACCCACAAACAGTGCAAATAGGTATCTTACCCAACTTAAGAGTTTATGAGCAAGCCATACTTGGGCACTGATATAAATACAGTTTCCTATGCAATTTATTTTGTCAGCTATGAAATCCTACAGCGCATATGAAGCTAGATGTGCAAACTATCAAGAGTGAGTGAACTCTAAAAGCAAAATGAAACAGGAAAGGAAGAACACTCACAGAGATCAGCTTGGCGAAGGTTTCTCATTCGTATCACTCTTACAGTAAGCAAGTTGCAAGGAAATTCTTTCTGCTGGAAAACAGCAAAACAAAGGAAAGGATGAATATTAAATTGCGTTTGGATAATCAAGTACCTAGCAGAGCAGCAAGCTAATCAATGGTTAATAATTCTGCAAAACAACATATAAGTAATTGTCTAGACCAGGGGTAGTCAACCTTTTTATACCTACCGCCTACTAATGCATCTTTCTTCATGGCAAAATTTCCTTACCGCCCACCAGCACTAGATGGAAGGAGGATTCAGCTTGTGCCCACCTAAATCGCCCACTAGTGGGCAGTAGGGACCAGGTTGACAACCTCTGGTCTAGCCTAAAGAATGAAGCGCACATTCTCCATGTCCTTGGCATGTTCAGATCACCAAGTGGCACCAGTTTTCAATAGCAAATAATAATGAAAGCTCTGAAAGATGGAATTAACCACCATTACTTCCAGGTTATTCGCTGATTTCCAATTAGCGAATTCTGTTTGGACCACTTTTTTCCATTATAACTGAACAAACACCATTTGACCCTTTGAGCAAATACAGAAGAAGAAGAAGAAGAAGAAGAAGAAGAAGAAGAAGAAGAAGAAGAAGAAGAAGAAGAAGAAGAAGAAGAAGAAGAAAGAATGAATTCAATACTATGGAAGTATCTTTTCTTTTGGGTATTAAATTCATTTTAATACCCCACCATTTTTTTGTTTTGTTTTGTTTCACTTTTAAATAACACCCAGCACTGATTCTTCAAAAGAAGGTGCCTCCTAGACCCTTAATGTGTCTGTGTTGTTTTTTTTAAATGCTGCAGATATCTAGCCATCCTAGATATAAAATGGCATTCATCATTTCCTGTAGGAAAGGTGTTTGATCATAATCCTCGTCATCAGAACTAAGCATTCCCAAGCGCTTCTCCTAACTGTTCTTTCCTGTGGGTGGGGTTCTGAGTGAAGTTGATGGGCAGGTTGCTGCTGACATAATTGTTATTTATCACTTATATAGCACTTCAAATGGGATTTATGGTCCCTATCTGGTTTGTCTTCATTACATCTCTATGAGCTGGGCCACTAATCTTCTACATAAGAGGAATTGCAGTTGAAAGACAAGACTTTGCCCGTATCTAATCTCTTCCATCTATGGCTCATCAGGCACATGGAACAAGGTGTTTCCAATTCAAGTCAATTTCTGTGTCTTTTGGACTCTCGTGGTTCTCAGGTTGGACCTAATTTTTCATCAACGGGTACAAATCTGACACTAATGTAGAGAATAGCAGCACAATAGAGTCACTGGCAGGATTTAAATAAACATTTGCAATTTTATTTGTAAAGAACAAAGAACATAATACAATGGTACCTCAGGTTACATACGCTTCAGGTTACATACGCTTCAGGTTACAGACTCTGCTGGAAATATTACCTCAGGTTAGAAATATTACCTCGGGTTAAGAACTTTGCTTCAGGATGAGAACAGAAATCGTGCAGCAACGGCAGAGCAGCAGCAGGAGGCACCATTAGCTAAAGTGGTGCTTCAGGTTAAGAACAGTTTCAGGTTAAGAACAGACCTCCAGAACGAATTACGGTAAGTTCTTAACCCGAGGTACCACTGTAGTATGACAATATGGAAGTATATACAAACAGCAGATTGTAATATGAGAGGTAATAAACCAAGGACGGAAGTTGAGGGAAGTCAGTAGGGAAAGGGGGAAAGTGAAACTTGAATGTAATGATTGCAGATATTGTTATGAGAGAAAAAACTCAATAAAAATGATTTTTAAAAAGAGAGAATAGCAGCACATTAGCTAATGGGGAGAAGTCCGAAAAAAATAAATCCCTGGAATAATTATACTTATTTATTTTACTTAACAAGATGTATCTACCACTTGATTATAGTAAAACCTCTACAGTAAGCAGTTTACAAGAACATTATAAATAAAACAGTTTGAAACAATTAAAAACATTTGAACATCATTCAACTTAACAGTAAAAGAAATTAAAACACAACAAAATATATTTGTCTGGGTAGATTTGCATAAATAAAAATGTTTTAAGCAGGTATCAAAAAACATACAGAGAGGGTGCCTGCCTGATATCACTAGGCAGGGAGTTGTCTGGGAAACCAAAATAAATCTGGCATATATTGAGTGTCAGTATTTAATGTATTAGTGTACTACAAATGGTTGTAATTCTGATTAGAGATGGAAAGGCCTGGGGGGGAAACGGAAAAATTGGAGTGGGGGGACAAGGTTTTTCCATTTTCTTCCCAAAGCCGTTTTTTTCTGGAAGAAATGAGGGGGTGGTGGAATATTCAAACCATAACAAACTGTTTTTTTTCAATTTTTCTGGGGGGAAAACAGCTTTGGGGGGAAAACAGGAAAAACAGGGGGAAACAGGGGAAATGGGGGGAGAGGGGCAATGGGAAAAACAGGGGAAAGAGGAATAAAATTGGTGTCCCCCCTCATCTTTCTGGTTCCCCCCCAGGCCTTCCCATCTCTAATTCTGATCTTATTATTGTTTTTATTGTTTCTTTAATTTGTAATTGCTGAATGTGTAATTGTTGTCATAGGTTTTTTGTGGTGTTTTTTTAAGACAGGGAGTTCCAAAGTATGGTTGCTGCTAAACTAAAAAATGATTTCTTATAAATGCAGAATCGCATTATGTGGCACCTGTAGCATGCCAGTTCCACAGATCAAAGTTGGGGAGTGGGCACAAATGGAGCTGCAAATACTGATTCCGTGCCCTAACTTTGGACATTTCTTGGCCAGAGTAGCAATAACAGTAGTTGCAAACTCCAGAACACACTGAGGTGCCAGTGGAAAGTATAGTGTACAGAATGATTCCTGTCACTCTGAGGGGAACAGAGGTATCAGTGTGTGGATGAAAGCTTCATGGTTTCAGTTGTCGCTATACTAATGCAGAGTATGAGAAACAAGCAAGAAGAATTTGAGCTCTTAATCAAGGTTGCCAATATGGCCTAACTGAAACCTCATGGGATGAGACTCATGACTGGAATGTAGAAACTGAGGGGTATAACCTGTTCCAATGGAATAGACCAAACAGGAAGAGAGGAAGAGTACCATTGTATGCAAATGATATGTACACTTGCGAATAGATCAATGACTTGGAGTATGGAAGGCAGATTGAGTGTATAAGAGTAAAAAATGGAGAAGATGGAAACAAGAGCCACCTTACTGCTATAGACCTCCAAGCCAAACTGAAGACTTGGATGATGCCTTCCAACAGCAGATTACCAAACATTAAAAAAGGAGAGTTGTGTGACTTGAACCACCGTGGTATATCTGTTGGAATGCAAACTCTGCCAAGAATGTAAGGGCCAACAAATTCTTCAATTGCCTCACTGACAATTGTGCTTCCCAGAAGATGGGAGAAACAACAAGGGGGTCATCTCTCTTGGACTTGGTCCTCACTAACAGGGAAGAACTGACTGACAAAGTGAAAGTACTAGGAACCTTAGGAGGAAGTGATCATGACCTCTAGTGTTTAATTATACAAAGGCAAGGGAAAACTGAGTGCAGTCGGACTTGCACTCTGGACTTTAAGAAAGTTAATTTCAAAAAGAAAGAAATGTAGGAAGCACTGAAAGAAACCAGTGTGGATGCATAAGGAGCTTACAGATGAGCTGAGTTGTAAGAAGGGGAAGTGTAAGAAATTGAAGAAAGAAGAAAGAAGAAAGGAAGAGTATACATAAGTAGCCAACAATTGCATGGAGAAGGTCAGGCAGGCCAAAGCTCAGAATGAACTCAGGCTTGCAAGAGAAGTTAAAAATAATTTTAAAATGTTTATTTGGCTATGTTCAAAGCAAGAGGAAGAATAAGCAAGGAGTAGGTCTTCTGCATGGAAAAGATGGAGAAATGCTATTGGCTGACAGAGAGAAGGTGGAACACCCAACACCTACTTTGTCTCTGTCTTTACCCCAAAAAAGTAGTGCCCAAACTGGTGGTATCAGAATTAACAATGCAAGGATGGAACTGCAGCCCAAGATAGGAAAAGAGATGATAAAGGATCACCTAGCTACTTTAAATGAATTCAGATCTCCAGGGCCTGAGGAACTGCACTCAAGGGTACTAAAGGAGTTTGTGGGTGTCATCTCAGAAACTCTGTCTATAATCTTTGAGAATTCTTGGAGATCAAGTGGGGTTCCTGCAGACTGGAAGTGAGCAAATGCTGTCCCCATCTTCAAGGTGGGAGGGGGAGGAAAACCCAGGTAACTACTGACCGGTGAGTTTGATACCAGGAAAGGTCCTGGAATAGATAATTCAACTATCATTCTGTGAGCACCTAGAAAATGATGCTGCGATTACTAAGACTCAGTATGGATTTCTCAAAAACAAGACATGCCAGACAAATCTCCTTCCTTCCTTCCCCAATTTATCTGAAACACTTCTACATTTCCACTATCTTGGCAGGATTGCAGCTCAGCTTATCTTCCACCCCCCTACTGCATCCAGGCAGCAGCCCAGGGACCACACAGCCTCTCCCAATTCTCCTGAACAATTCCAGGGATAACTACAATGGAATACAAGGTAGTCATATACTACTTTTAATTTATTTAATATTTTGACTTTTGTATTTTCTAAAGTATCACGGTGATTTTTTCTTGATTTCATTGTTTTATCTTTTTGTAAGCCGCTTTGAGGGTGCTGCTGCTGCTGCTGTTTATAATCAAGCAGTGTATTAAATAAATACTTCCTCTCAGTCCCCCACAGCAGTATTAGTATTACTGGGCTACTTCACAAGGTTGGCATAACCCACACTTTCTTAACCATTAAAAAAAACACACCCTCCAATTGATTGATTTGTAAAAGGGAGATGATGGAGGCATACAAATTGGACAAAAAAGTTGGTTTCCAGGTGGAAAAATCAAAATTGGAAACAGAACTGTTAGACCCCAAAGTTAAGAATTTGTCAAGAATGTATAACTTGCTGTTGAAATGGAATACTCAGGATGAAACGGTGAAATCTGCTATGATTAAATGGGCACAAGATGTTGGACATAACATTATGATGGCTGACTGGGAACAGTTATGGACCACAGGTATGAAATTTACGGCATGTAATGACTTAAGAGAGAATTTAATGAAAATGA